TTGTTGCTCTTCTCTGGACACACTCCAGCACCTCCATGTCCTTTTTGTAGTGAGGGGCCCAAAACTGAACACAGCACTCGAGGTGCAGCCTCACCAGTGCCCAGTACAGGGACACAATCACTTCCCTACTCTTGCTGGCCACACTAGTGCTGATACAGGTCAGGATGCCGTTGGCCTTATTGGCCAACAGCATCTTGATATATATCAATCATATATGCATCAGAAAAATTAGAGACCTGCAAAAATGATGCTAAAGTGATTGCGAAGAGGAAGAGGGTGTAGTGCAAAAATCATCCTTTTCCTGTTCTGCCTTCTCCCTCGAATACTGTTGCTATTGATAAGGAAAAGTTGAAATCAGAACCCTGACGTAGTGCAGGAAGAATAAAAGGAGAGTGGGCACAGGGAGCTTGTCATAACCGTGCAGTGCTTATTAAATCAAAGGAAGTTATCAATCCCCTCTCACTTTTAGCTCAGAAAAAAAAAAGAAAAAAAAGAAAAAAAAAAAAAGACGCCTATTTCTCCTGAAGCAGTAAATCATTAATTGGGCAGTGCAGGAGAAGGGAGGGGGAAAAGTTGAAGAGCTTCTTCCTCCAGCAGTGAGCTATCAGATGGCTCAGCCCTCCCCAGAACTTCACCCTTAGATAAGTTAAAATTGATGGTAAAACTATGTCCCGAAGAGAGCATTTCATAGCCATTGTTTCAGACTCTCATCATCCACAACTGCCATAACTCAGTTAAGACCATGCCACCCAGAGGGACAGATTGCTCTGCACCTCTCAGACTTCTGCAATGCTAAGGCTGTAGTCCTACAATCTCCAATACCAGAGAAATTCACACTACAAATCTGATACAGATCAGACATCCAGCTTCCATCAAATTCATTAGAACCAAAATGACTCTTCAGGCTGCAGGAGGGAAGGGCAGCACATTAGAAGCAGACGTACAGTATAGAGCCTTTGCAGACAACTGAGGGTTACTTTTGGTTTTTTGGGGTTTTTTTTGTTTTTTTTGTTTTTTTTTTTTTTTAAATAAATAAATGTTGTGATCATGTATCAGAGGAGCACTTTGCATCATGTGGCCGTGACATTCTTCCTGCAGTACTGGTCATCCCTAAACCAGATTCAGTCTACTCTACAGCTACAGTGTCAGCTGCAGATAAAGCCAGAGATAAAGCAAACTGAAAGAGTCTGTAAAAGCTCGCAGCTGACTATACGCACCAGTGGAGCCTATGTTATCTGACTGTTACAGCAAGATGTAAGGGGGACTGTAAGAACAAACACTGACCTCAATTATTCAAATACTATAGCTTCCATTGAATAACACTTTCAAAACTACTATTCAATGCATTTGAATTTGCAATCTCCAGAACCTCTCCCCATCTTCAAAACGCTGTACTGCATGGTGCCTGCATTAAGGAAAAGAGACGCTAGTGCCATGGGAGCAAAGGTGGCACGAGATCAGTGCTTAAGCAAGAGGACTGTCTCACACAGCCCCGCCTTCACCAGCTATTTGTTCCCAGTCTTGTATTGCCTCCTACTGACAACGCTTCTTGTACAGTAAGGTAGTAAACCAATCCAGCTGAAAAAAAATGGGGGGAAATAGGAATATTTTCAGTGTAGCTCAGCTAGATTAGTTCCCCAATCCACTTGACTACACAATGCAGAAAATACAGTGTCCCAGAGGAGGAATGAGTTACTCATAAGAGCTATACATCTTACCAAGAAGTCCAGGAACTGCACCACCACGACCAACAGATATTTTAGGCATCTGAAATAACTCACTATAAAACCAAGTCCTGCACACTGTGTCAGAAAGGGTAGACACTGTCATCTTCTCAGGAAAATGACAACAACCTGCAGGGCATTTAGCCATTTACTAATGTAGTTTTTATACTGTATACACACACATTTTATACACATAGACATTTCAATAAAATGACAGTATTTAATTCCTTCAGTTCTGGCATTTATGCTTCTAGTTCAAAACTGTCTACACTTGTGGTGGTTTGGGTTTCCCCTACCTTTCGTAGGTCCATTAAATACAGTTACCACAGCGCTTCGCAGGTAGGTGGAGGAGTTACAGTAGTAGGAAGTTTCAACAAAGCAGTTTCATAATAGCACAGTTACACACTCAAAAAAACCCCACCTCTGCCAATGGCATGTCAGTTATACACTTTTAGAGTTACCTCAGATTAACTGCAACCTTTTCTCCCTCAATCACAACCTAAACAAGATTTTTAGATAAAGATCAACAAATTGTGGTATAATTAGAACACTGTTGAGAGGTAGATAGCTCATTTCTTTGATAATCCCTCCAAGGACTTTAAAAACATGTATCAGACAAAACCAAATACATTTACATTCATTTTCTATTGTAAAGGAACACAAATTATTTTTTTCATCAACTGATCAAACAGAACATGTTTCAGATTCAGCAACATAAATCAAATATTCAATGACAACTAAAAATTTGGTATTCACATTCAAAAAATACAGCTGCTCAAAGTAGATTTAAAGCAAATTCCAAATACAAAATTACAATATCCATATATAGTATATGCTCAAACCCCAGAAGGTAAAATTTCCCTGCTGCATCTGTGACTCAACCTCTGAGG